TTTACATACACACACTCTCTCTCTCTCTCTCTCTCTCTCTCTCTCTCTCTCTCTCTCTCTCTCATTCCCGCTACTTCACCCTCGCGACCGCCTGGTTGGTTACTTTGCGTTTTGTGCAAATTGGTTTCATTTTCTTCGTTTCATTTTCCTCTCTCACCAACCAACGATTCTCGCGGTGAAACAAAGCCGGGAGGAGAAGTGCGCGCGAGTATACGAGCGAGTGTACGCACGAAGCCTGCGTAATCAGGCTGACTCGCTCGTTACAAGTGAGAAATAGAAATCGCGATACGGAAATGAGCGTTGTGATCCGTCCGTTAATTCATAATAAAGGGAATCGCCGAACGGTGACGGTTGCGCGCTGGAATGAGCGGTTGCACAATCGAGCGCGATAATAACTCCTCGCAGGAACGTGAACCGCGCCGCCAAGAGCTGTAACAACACCGTAAATGTGTACAAAGCGCCTCGTAAAGTCTGCCGCGTGTGTATCGATCGGAAGCGAACGTCGACGACGACGATGACGACGCCGCATTCTCGTGTATCGCCTCGCTGAAAAATCCGCGGCATTGGAAAACCGCGAGACAGAGTACAGAGAGAGAGAGAGAGAGAGAGAGAGAGAGAGAGAGAGATACAGAGAGAGAGAGAGAGAGAGAGAGAGAGAGAGAGAGAGAGAGAGAGAGGGAGGGAGGGAGTGGGGAAACTCTATTCTCTCCCCGGCCCCCCAAAGGAGGGGGGGGCTAGTCGCGACTAGGGTGGAAAAGAAAGACGTGAACCCTTGTCGCCTTCGTTGTTGCCCGGTCGACCGGCGGCGGCGAGCCCCCTTCTCCCATATGGTCGCCACATGTGGGTTCTGAGTACTACCAGAGGGGGGAAAGTCATCACGGGGAGCCAGCTGATGGTTGACGCGTTGGTCGTCGCGCTTCCTCAGTTACTCTTGGACCGCGCGCTCGCCCGAATCCGGCCGCACGTCGCTGGACAAATTCTCCCCGACTCGGAAGATCCCGCGTAGGGATCGGTATCCAAGTAGGCACGACGACGACGACGACGACGACGACGACCTTGACTCCAGGGATCACGAGGTCGCGCGAGGACCGTGCGTGAAGCGGATACGAAGGTAAGCGGAGGATAGCGATTACAGAGGCCGAAGTCGAGGCACGCGACGCTATTTGACCCTCTGTTAATTAACTAACGGAACGATAATTAGATAACGGGTCTACGGAAGATAGCGGAATGAAATTCTTCTCCGCCCCCTCCTCTGCCCCTCACTCTTCCTCCGTCTGTCCGACTTATGATTCGGCGATCGTGATATTGGGGGTAGGTTCAACGGGGTCGTGGGACGTGATTTCTTCTTCGATCCAGTCGCCGATTCGCTTCTTCGTGCGCGCCGATAAATGAAGCGAAGCGGCGGTGATCTATCCTTGACTCGTTGGACGTATTCCGCCTTTCGCAGGAACATGATCGGGAGTACCGCGCATCGGCGGGTAATTAGCCGTCGCGGTGGCAATTAATGGCATGTCGATAAGCGGCAGTCAAATAATATTAAATCGTCCTTATCGGAGAGGCGCTTGTTTGCCCGGCGAGCGATAACGCGCGATGACGTGGGATAATGATCGCGGGGTATCGCGACATCGCGGCGATTGGCACGGGCTCGCTCGTTGGTCGTTGAACTCCGCGCGGTTAAAGTGGCGCAGAGGGCCGACGCGAAATCTGGCAATGGGGTTGGGGAATCCTTAGTAACAGTGTAATGCCGTTCGAGTATTGATTTCAGACACGGGGGTTTAGGGTAGCGTTACACGTGTCTACGGCGCGTCCTGCAAACATCGGTCACGCTTATCCGTGAGACCCTCGGTGATTTCCTCCCTTCCGATTGCGCGGCGATATGGTGGGATACGATCGAAAGCAGCGAGCGAGCGTCGCCGCGCTGCGGACGATTTCGGGGTGAAACGACACGACACCGGCGAGTCTGAAAATTACGCGGGACGCTCTGTTCCCCCGAGTCGAGTCGGATTTTCGCATGTTTTTTTCTCTCTCTCTCTCTCTCTCTCTCTCCGCATCGCATCGCAGCAAGCGCATACGAGCGTTCTCGAGCGTTGTCTCCGACTCGTCGTCGTCGTCCACGCTCCTCAGGCGCTCAGCTATTTGCGTATTTGTATTCTAAGACGAGACGGAGACGCCGCATTCCACGTTCCTCATCGATTGTTCACGCGTACATGAGTACGGAGTCAGAAAAAACAAGGAGGATAACGAAAATCCTGGGATCGCTCGCGGAAGTTTCCGCGAATTCTTGCGAGACGACGCGACGCGCGCGCGCGCGCGCGCGGAAATTGCCGGCAGCCGTCGATCGTCGTCGACGGGGCCGATCGACGAGACAATCGAATCAACCGGTCGCGCATTCGCAGATGATACCGGATACCGAGGCGGTGTGCCAGGCTTCCGAGGTTGCGGTTAACAGCGGCGACGCATGCGACAAGATTAAGGACCGGCCGGAAAAGGAAGCGGCGTCGGTGACCGCCTGGAAGCGATACCAGCGACTGGTCAGCATGATGGAGTCCCGGGGCAGCGGCGAATTCAACCGGAAGTCCCTGATAGACGCGATCTTCCGCGGGAGCGATCTCGTCTACGCCAGTCACTGATGGCCGCGCCCGCCGTCGATCGGATTTCCCTCGATTACGCCACACCGAAGCGCCAATACCGGAGTCCGCAGGCTCGCGACAGTGGCGTAGACCTGTCTCGCGGCTCCTGCAGCGTCCCGAGTTCCTGCGCGCGAGTACGGAATTACGGAAGCAATAATGACGAACAGCAGGTGCATCGATCCTGCACGGCGGAGCCGAGAGAGATCCTTATCCCGCGGACTTGTACGGACGGTCATCATTTGATTCATCGGACAACGACGGAATCATTCGTTCGATTTCGTTATCGATCGAGATATCGCTGCGATTTGCGAACGAGCAGTCGTCGTTTCATGGAGATCTGCTGATGGTCGTTCCCGAGATGATTGTGAGATTAATCGACTAGCGCTAGGAGGCGAATCGTGCCACGTGTGCCACGATCTCTCGAGCGGGCTCGAGAGCGATTCCCGCTCGATTTTTTGCTCGCGAGCGGCGGCCACGTGCTCGGCGATGCGCGCGCTTATCCGGAAACGCACGGCGGGAGAAAATACTTGCCGAGCGAGTAACAGAGCGGCCGCGCGGCGCGCGATATATCGCGGCGAGGGAGCGCGCGGAATGCGAACAACGTGCGGCTGTGTATTATAGTTCGACGTCGAGCGCACTATTTTTAGATCCGCGCGGAGACCGTTTACCGGTTCCGGGAGACGAGCGCTTTTCGCTCGGCTCTTATGCGCGCGAAGCGAGTGTCGTTACGTGCGACGTGCTCGTCCTTGGGGGCGAGAGAGACAGAACCTGAAAAACCGAGCCGAGCTCGTTTCGCTCGTGCGCGCGCGCGCGGTCTGATTAACAACGGGCTCCAAATTACGTTAACAAACCGCGCGAGTTATGGCTCCGCGAGAAAACGAAATTGAATTATGTAACGAGAGCAACTGCGCGGGCGTGGCGTAGAGGGAGGCGCTGTGCGCGGAGGGTCTCCGATGTGTTGAAACGGAGTAACGAACGATGTAACGAATAAACGCGTCCCGCGGAGATGAAACGTTATACGGCGACCGTCGAGGAAGGGGGAGAGAGCGAGCGAGGAAACGAAGTAATATTTTCGCTCGTCGTCCGAGTCACGAATGGCGCAAAATGAGACATCGGCGAGTGCGTGGGCTGAGAACGCGGATCAGAGCCGAAATCGAGCCGGAGCGTCGTTACTACGCCACTGGCTGACAAATGCAATCACAGTAGAGATAACGTTTAACGATGCCAAACGGTGTATTACTAGTCAACGTGTGCATAATAAATCGCGACCGAGTAGGATAGATCGTTTAATTAGACAATTACGACAACGGCCACCGGCGATTGCCGGCGTCTGTCGCGCGATAGACGACGGCGGGCGTGTCTGTCTCTGTAATCAACCGCATGAGCTCATGCGGCATCGGCTGATATACTCGCTGCGTGTATAATAATAATAATAATAATAATAAAATGGAGAAGGGAACGAAAAAATATACACACACACACACACACATACACACACCACACACATATACGGAGGTCCAACGAAGAGCGGACGATTATATCGTTCCGTTCTTTTTTTTTTTTTCCGATCATCGCCTTCATTTCGCGCGAGCGCCGATCGCGGGTCGTCGTCGAACGATCGAGACTCGAGAGACGTCTCAGAGATATATAAATATATATATATATATATATATATAAGCAATCAATCGTAAGAAACTACTCAATAAAGTATTATATTTATTCCGGAATTTTAACGTGCTTTTTCTCACGACAAATCGCGCGATGATTTTCGACCGCGAGAGGATCAGCCGCGTGGAACTTTGTATTTTGCACGATAAATTTCCGACGTGATCTTGATTTTCAGATTTGATCATGGAGATGTGGACGATGTATATAGAGGGATGCGTGTCATGACAAGGCCACGCGCTGCCAAGACGAGCGCGTGGCACGTGAGATCCCGAGAAGAATGGCGTTTGTTTCACGTTCCTACGTCATTTTTCCGCGGAGCTACAAGCGTCCAAAGTTTTCGGTATCTTCAGAGGGCCGCGCGTTCTTTCGCGGCGACCGGCGACACGCGCGCAAGTATATTGTAGCGCCGCGGTCTTCACACCTCTCCCACCTGCGAGCGGCGGCGAAGAGAGCCGGCCGCAACATTGTAGCGGGTCTCGGCCTCAAATCAAAGAACTCGCCGCTCGGCGATAACTCCTCGTAGAAAAATCATAGCGACGTCGGACAAAGTCGCGCTTGAAAGCTGAGACTGTTCCGCTCCGGACGATGGGCGGACGACACGTGGTCGTTCTCCATTCATTCGACGTCGCAACGAGCAGCCGATCAACCTCGGCGCCGCGCCGGGAGAGACGGTGTTTCGTGAAAGTTTCCTCCTCTCGCGCATGAACCCAGAAATGAAATATATTTGCAATAAATTTACACAACCCGCTCGCGTCGTTTCCACGACAATGAAATGAACACGTCGTGGAGGAACACGTGTAGTCGCGTACACGTGTGTACACATAAATCATCTCGCTACATTAAATATTGCGATAGTACAAATATACAAAATATATACAAGTAACGCCGCTGTGTAAAACTCGTGCCCGCGGCCGGGAACGGAAGTTCGCCGGCTGTCATAAAGTATCTTACAGAACTTTTTACAGAGACGGGCGCAACGCGCCGGTCACAACGGTACTCCGGTTTACGTCGCTCGCGATTCGCACTGGTCTGGTTCAGCTTGCGCTGAACGACGAGAGCTCGGAGATACGACGCTCGAAAAAGAAGGCAAAGATATACACTCATGTGTAGAAAGGAGTTTAGGTTTCGTGTTACAAAACTGAAGGCAGCTCGCCGCATTCGGAAGACACGCGCGGTCGATCGTCGCGTCGCGACGGCACGATGTCGCTGAATTTCTCTACTTTTTTTTACGAACCTCTCCGACTTTTCTACCGCGAACACGCGAGCTTTCGCAGGACCGCGTCGAGAGAGCACGCTCTCTGCGTCGCTGATCGCGCCGATGCGATAGAAGCGAAGCGAACGTTGCTACGTTTACGAGTCGCTATATCACAAGGACGAAGGATACGATCTTCCGCTATTACGAACACCCTACGTCGCATCCCGGCTCCCCCCTACCTCGACCCGGGCTCATATGAAGTCCGTGACGAAGATCTTCTTGAAGTCCGGCGCCGAGCCGCCGATGTCATGCTTGCATATGTCGCCGTTGTCGAGGTAGCTCACGTCTGAGTTCTTGAGGATGCTCTTGAGACTCTCCATCGAGAGATTCGGCAGCTTCCTGTCAATCGTGAGCTTGTCCAAGTCGTTCATCGAGTAACCGGGCCCGATCCTCTTGCTCTTCAAGTGATACGATTGTATGCTGGGCTTCGTGTCGGCCGCTGGCTTGCCGCCACTGCTGCTGCTGCACTTCTTGTCCTCCCGCTCGCCCGTGCCGTTCTCTATGATACGCGGCGTGAAAGATCGCATGCTGACCTTTACCTCGCCGGCTCTCTTGGAGGGCAGCAGCTCCACCTGCAAAACAGGACGTTCTCACGATGTGCGGGGGATTACGTAAGGCGCGAGCGCGCCTTCATCGCCGCGAAAAGGCCGATGAAACGCTCCGTCGACGGGCCGCGGGCACTTTGTCGCTTTTTTTCCTTTTTCACGTCGGGGATGGATTTTCTCGCGTCGTGAAAGTCCCTCCGGCTTGCCTCGCGTCAGCGACGCGAACCAGACCGCGAACCGGTCGCTTCGGTTGACCGGCCTTCTGTCGCTCGGCGAATGTTTATTGCGTCGACTAGTCGTCCGCGCGTGCTGAAGAGACAGGCGCGAAAGTTGGCGCGGGGGCGACCTGCCTTCGATTAACCCGACCGAGAAGGAGACGGGAGAGATTGATGCGACGGCGCCGGACTCGATCGATTCGAAGCGCGATCTCACGCGACTTACGGGATTTTCAGCGGCGGCTTTTGCAGCGCCGCGGCGAGTTCCCGAGCGACTCTCGGTCGTACGACGAGGATTACCTTGGTTCCCTTACGTTGGAAATACTCGAAATCGTCATTGGCGACCGTGGTGACGGAGCAGCAGCTCCTGCTCCTGCTCCTGCAGGAGCTCATGGTGTCGAAATCGCCGTTCTCCAGGTCGCAACTCTCGTCGTCGGAGCTGTCGTAGCCGTCGCAGTGGCCTTGACTGTCTTGCCGCTGGAGATTCTGCTGCTCGCACGTGTGGCTGTCCTTCTTCAGGTTGTAGGTCCTTGTATCGAGCATAGGTCGGTGATATCTGAAAGCGCCGAGTTGTCATCGACTCCGCCGAGTTGTCGCACGACATTTCACGCGCTTCTTGCATATTTCTCACGTAGTAGAGCAGATAAAACATATATTAGATAACCGAGGAAGTTCGTGCCGTTACTGGCTTTTGTTACTGTCAAACTGCATATGCGCGCAGCCGCGTGCTATTGATTAAAAGTGTGGTTATATATATACTTGAAGAAAAGCTTACTCAGTAGAGAATTTGCATTGGTGTGTAACATTTGCGGAAATTAATTAGTTAAGGTTTTGCCCATGTTGAAACATACATTGAAACGGCACGAATTTTCTTGATTACCTAACAGAAGGTTTGATCAAAAAGTAACGAGAATTTTGAAATTGCGCGCGCTGTATCTTGTCTATTCAGTTGATTCTTCTTTTTGTGTGTGTTGGTAGCACTACCAGTATTGACGTGCGTGTCAATTTTCAGGCAGCTGCGACGCTCAGTTTGTGTTTGACGAGCGAACGAGCAAGACGTACTTCAGTGTGTGTCTGGCGATTTTTCGAGTGGCGAAATGTCGGATCAGAGAGCATTTGCTTAAACCAACAGTTGTTCTCGGCGAGACACAACACCGTTGTGATGCCGCAAACATCTTATTCTCCAGATATGGCCCCTTGTGACATTTTCCTATTTCCCAAACTCAACAAAGGACAACATTTTTCAACGATAGACAGAGAGAGAGAGAGAGAGAGAGAGAGAGAGAGAGAGAGAGGAAGAGAGAGAGAGATAAGGCGAAATCGCAGGTCCAGCTCAAGACGATACCTAAAGAGGCGTTCCACCAGTGTTTCTCAAACTGGAAACTACGTTGGCACAAGTGCATAATATCACGGGGGGGGGGGGCTACTTTGAAGGAGATGGGATAAACATTGAAGATTAAATAAATACTTTTCGAGAAAATTAAAAATTCTCGTTACTTTTCGATCAAACCTCGTATATGATGCTTTGATTACATATCTTGTGCTTTAAAATGCACATTTCTCATGCGGAGGAAATGTAAAATATGTATCATATTTATCATATGAGCATATGCTTCGTTGAAAATGTATAATACATAGCGCGCACCTAGGAGGTGCTCGAAATGAAATTGGGCTTTTCTTCGAGTTACGTCAAGAGACGCGACTCTTCAAGAGCACGCGTTACAGCTAATGCGAGCTGCCGGGAAGCTTGGGCGCCGGAGCGGATGAAAGGCGCGCGCATGGAAAAATGTAGGACGGCCCATGATGCACCTCGAAACGTGCATTTTGAATAAATTATAAGAAACTTGGCGTCTCACTTTCCAGTTGCACACTTTGCGGCGTGCGTATCGCGCCGGCGGTTTAATGGCAAAAGTGAAGGTACCCTACAAGCGCGAACGGCAGCGGCGGCGGTGACGGCCCGGGAGGGGGAGGGGTGGAGAGGGGAGAGGAGGGGAGACGAAGTGGTACCTGGCGTGATCGAAGCTTTGATTTCTGCGAAGAGCGTTCCTAGGATAATGCTGCGCGTGCAGGCTGCTCTCCAGTCCCACGATCAGGTTCTCCAGACCGAGGACGCTCCTGGCGTGCCGTCTGGACGGTTCCTCGCGAATCTCGTCGAGGCTCTTGGCGAAGGACTTCCGGCCGCTCGCCGGCTCCTCCAGTTGCACCAGGTTCTCCATGTTCTGGCCGAAGACGTCGGTGCTGCCGATCTTCCTGCGGTTACCGCCGAGCTCCAGCAGGTTCTCGTTCGGCCTCGGCCGCCTGCTGTTGTGCTGCTCCACGGGGTTCTTCTTCGCCGGCTGCTCGGCGATCCTGTCCTGACGCGGCTCGAAGGTGGAACTCGTGAAGGACGATAGTTCCGCCGGCAGGGACGCGTAGTTGCCGTCCTCGTTCACCGGCTGCGCTCTGGGATAATGCTGCTGGATGCCCATGGCGATCGTGCCGGTCTTTGCTGCAAACATGATCAGCAAGGGTGATGATCGGTCGAGTAGAAACGACCGTCGCGAGAGGCTATAATTGCAGCTAGTCGATATGCGTCATCTCTCTCTCTCTCTCTCTCTCTCTCTCTGCCTCTCTCTCGAGCGTTACAAGAGCGTTTACCGACATTTCAGCGAACGGGGACGACGACGGTCACGATTTACTTTAATTAGCGTCGACCGGACTCCGACGAGCGGTTCCTCAAGGTAATAGAAAGGAAGCGGACGGTGGACGCACGCGAAAGCGCCGCGCTTTCGGGAATATCGAAACACACTCGGCTCTTCACGTTATTACGGTGACCCGTAATATCGAGGATGTGGGGGGGAGGAGGGGAGGGGTGGCGGCGCCGGCGATGTTGACGGCGTTGATGACGGTGATGGTGGAAATAGAGACGATTACGAGCGAGAGACGATTTAGCCTCGGACTTTCTAACGTGGCCGTGCCACGGCGAGTGCATTAACGAAGCCGCACGAAACGCAATTAACAATAATATAGGCCGACGGAGAGATAGAGAGAGGTGGGACGGGAGGGGGGGGGAGAGGAGGACGAGGAGAACCGGCGCGGCGGTTGATCGAAATATTCTCGCGTCGTTAAATCCCGCTGACATCCGCTCTCGCGCTCACCTCTGTTCTGGTGGCTGTGCAACCGTCCGTAGAGGCTTCCGTTAGTTAGGGGGAACTTCAGTCCGTGATTCAGATTCAACTGCAGCTTGTACTCGGTGTCCTGCTCGAAGTGTCGGAACTTGCCGTCTATGCCGCCTGAAAGAGAAACGTCCGTCGGATTTTAGAATAAGCCTCGTTTTCCTGTTTTCGGATTTTACTGACTCGTAAGCGCGCTTGCGATCGTCGATCGCGATGATAGCGGAAGAACGGGAGAGCGACAGAGAGAGAGAGAGAGAGACAGCGGTTCGATGAATTATTCAGCGTGATATTTCTCCCGGAGAAAAGAAGTCGCGACGCCATATCTCCGGGAATTCTGACAGAAAACGAGACGATGAGCCTCGCTGGCGCGTCGATGAGTCCTTACGGTATCGCGGCAATTCAGATCGCCATCGGTAAACGCCAGCGGGGCGGAAACTCGTGGCAGGTCGACCGTTTCGGAATTCAATAAAGAGAAAGAGCGCGCACGATCGCGGGTGAGCACGAAGAAACCGTGTAAATAGCCGCATACGTGGTTGCAAAACGAAAACACGACCGAGTAAATCGCCCGTACGCGCGTCGTTAGCGAGAAAAATTGCCGGTTGTCGCGCGGGGGATATCGCCGTTGTTGCGCGGCCAGAAATCACGATTATTACCCGAGGCCCCCGCGGGCGTCTTACTTTCCCACGCACGGCGAGCGGGTCAGTGTGTTTTCTTAACGAAAGAATGGAAATCACGTATCGCGTCGTTGCGTTACGAAACACGCGCGGACGGGTGTATCGTGAATATCCACCTCCCTGCCGCGGTAGAGAGAAAAGACAAAGAGAAAGAAAGAAATAAGAGAAGAAGGCGACGAGACGCGCACCGTGCGACAGCCGCCTCGCGTGATCCTGCTTCGTGTACACCTTGGCCACATATCGGCAGAACATCTTGTCGAAGAGAGCCAAGAACACCGGAAGCAGCGTGTCCTTCACCAGCGGCAGCCACGTCGCCAAGTTTTGAGGCGTGCAAAAGTCCCTCAGCAGGCTGGGTCTGATCGAGATGATCTGCGAAATGGAGATGCATTCGTCAGTTTTCTAGCACAGTACATAACATGAAGCCTGCAAAAGTATAAGAAGATACACCGCACTGTATATACCTTTTCAAAATGGCGCGAAGATCTTTCCGAAGCGCAGTTCGCGCAGCGCAGCGAGTGTCTAGCGAGAGAATTTATTAGGGGTCTACCGGAAAGTCTTATCATTTTTCCATTTGTTCTTCGCTTGGCTCAAACCGGCTGCCATTTTCCGAGAGTAAGCTCGATCTTAATGAGAAAGTTGATGTAGACACAATAAAGAAATGTCGTTAACTAAGCTGGAATTTAAATTAATTCTGGATTAAAAGGAAGAATTCGTACTGCAACCACGAACATTGGTGGCTTCAAAATGACAAAAGAAACTTTCCGCTACCCGCAATAATTCCTGCGAATCTTTCCGAAGAAATTCCCTCACCGGCGGACCATCGCATCGGCTGCGCCGAGCCGCACCCAGAAAAAAATGACCGTATCGGCAGCCAGTGTATAATAAACATAATTGTCAGGGTGCGGAAGCCCGCGCGAGCTTTCACGGCTGCCGGGAGCCGCATTCAGACGGGCGATTGTTTCGCCGCTCGGCGCGACAACCGGGCGCGATGCTTTTCGTGCGCATCGCCGCTTAATTTAAACGAGATCTTCCTCCCAGTCCATCGGGCTACGTGCCGGGACAATTGATTCGCCGGAACGTGCTTGGGACCAGCCGCGGCGAACCATTGTGAAACTTTGTAAACTTCCTCGCTCCGGTATACAGCGACGTGTGTGTGTGTGTGTGTGTGTGTGTGTGTGTGTGACGCTGTGCAACAGTACGCACGGCGCACAGGATGAATATCCTTACGAGGATCGAGAGACGCTTAATAATAAACCGCTGCTCAAACGCGATCGTTATTAATTGAATGTGGTCATTGCCGCACGGTTGGCTATATAAAAAACGGTATTCTCACTCGATCTCCGTTGCGAGGCGCGTCGCTCGTAACGCGACGAGTAATGCAACAGCCTCGGCATTCTAGAGCGCGAGCTTCTCCTCGCGCTGATAAATTTCACCAGAAATCATGTCAAGAAGTTATATATTCAGAAATCGGTCGCGTAGCGCGCTTTCGCCCACGAGCGATCCTCCGCGCGAACGTCGAACGTGTTCGGGTCGCTCAATTACACGCGGCTAATTGCTCGCGGTGCGTCCGGCTGCGTTACGCACGCGATAGCGAATATCGTGCGCGCGCGGGATGTGCGACAAGACGAAGAGACGAGAGAGAGAGAGAGAGAGAGAGAGGCGCGGCCGCCAATGGCAGGTAGAAAGGACTTTCGATTTTAAGCGCGAATTCGCGCGAGGATACGAAAGGATCGGCCGGTGAAAACTCCGTCCGCGGGCGGTCGCGCTTTCCAAAGTACGCGCATCGTGCACGACCACGCGATGCGCGCGAGCTCTACGCAATTTTACGTGCGCTGCACACGCACTCTGCGTGCCGCGTTTCTACAACGTCGTTCATAAAAAGTGTGCGAGCGACCGCTCGTTTCCGCGGAAACGCGCGCTCCTGGCGAAGATCTCTCTCGTCGTCTCTGACATTCTTTAAATTTCTACGATCGCGGTTTTGAAGAGCAACAGGCCGGACAGGCAGACAGAGAGGGCGAGAGAGAGAGAGAGAGAGAGAGAGAGAGAGAGAGAGCTGATTAAGGTTTCAGACGCGCTTCGTTTCTCGCGCGAGGAATTTTAACTAATTGCGACGATCAAATCGTCGTTAATTAGTGGCCAACGACGACTTCTCTTTCTCTCGCGCACTTTTGTTTCGCGCTGTATACTCTCGCGCGAACGGTATAACCGTGTGCAGTGGTACCGCTGGTTACGTGAATAACGGCCGGTCCGGTCCGAGGTATGAAATCGAAACTAGTTGTGTACCTTAATTAGAGAATAGAGCGAGCGCTAATACGAGCCGCGTACGTGCACGCGCGTGTGTGTAAGCGTGTACACGCAACCACCGACCTCGTCCTTCTCCCGCTCTCCCCCGACTGTGTCTCTCTCTCTCTCTCTCTCTCTCTCTCTCTCTCTCTCTCTCTCTCTCCCTCTCTCTCTTTCTCTCTGCGACGAACGTATCTCGTTTCGCTCCGAGTGACGGCAACCATAAATTTTCCGTTATATTTCGCTTCCCTGCATTAAATTTATTTCGCTTCACGCACAAATCCCTCTTACCGAGCACTCGACTTTGCTTTTCTTTCTCGATTTTTATCTTCTTTCTCGATCTTTATCTTCTTGTCTCTTTTTCCGATTTCGTTCAATCTCCTCGAATTTCTTTCTTTTTCTCTCTCTCTCTCTCTCTCTCTCTCTGTCTCTCTCTCTCTCTCTCTCTCTCTCTGTCTCTCTCTCTCTCTCTCTCTCTCTCTCTCTCTCTCTCTCTCTCTCTGTCTCTCTCATCTGGTAAACATATCGCTCGGCAATTGGCGCGATAATTGCCACAATAAGAGGGGGTGCGTCATAGGCTCTCCCTCTCTTTCCGCGTTGCGTTCTCTCGCTCTCCTCGCGGTTCGTTCTCCGTCGGTTCCGCGGACTCGCGCGCGAACGGGAGTTTCTCCGTTGCCGATTCCAGCCGCGCGCGAACCCCGAATGGACATTAGGCGTTTTACTTTAATTGACGGTAGAAAACGTAACGTCGGCCGCGTCGACGGACACGCTTCCCGCATTCGCTTGGCAGCGCGATCGGCGCTGATCCCGGCCGATCGCGCACCCGATAACAATTGCCTAATGTGCGAGAAATCATCGGCGCAATTGCGAAAATCCGCGATGATCGGCGAACTCGAAAGGCGGCAGCGCGGATTGCTCGCGTTCGGCACGAGGAACGATACGAAATAAAACAAGAAAAGAAGAAAATAGGAAGGACAGAGAAAAGTACTACGTCGCGCGGGAAAAGCACCGAGAGAGAGAGAGAGAGAGAGAGAGAGAGACCGTCGATCTCCGTCAAGCTTCGATGAGGTCGTCTCGAAGTCTCCCATCGTGCGAGACTGAAATCGGAACGTGTAAATCGATATTGTTGTTTGGTTTAACCACCGCACACGGGCGGGGGAGGGGGTGAAACACGACTGTAACAGCCGTCACGGCGTCCGGTCGCGCGCTCGCGTGCGCGTAAGAACGCGCTGGGGAACGGTTCCCTTCGGCTCGCTTCGACGAGCCGTGCTCCGATAATTATTTCACAACGAGTTAATATGGTTTTCGCGCTCGCGCCTCGCCGCGTTCGCAGCGGGCCGTTTCTTGCTTTCGTAATCGGCAAGAGCCGCTCGCGGGCGATCAGCGATCGCTGAGGACGATTCACGTGGAAAACAAGAACGGCACCGTTAACCCTCGCGCGCGCGCGAGTCGTCGGAATTCGCGCGGCGCGAATCTCGCCCACACGCGTCACGACAATCTAATTGGCGCGCGTCGCTCCGCCGCGATGTAAACAGTATGCGTCATGCGTGTAATAGCCGCGCTCATTAATATTAATGAGGAGGGTCAGGGAAGTTTCTCCGCGGGACGACTTTTGCGGAACGCCGCCGCGAATCTTGATTTTGCCGCGGCCGATTAAGGTCGCCGGCCCGAATTAAGACCGCTCGCGCGCGCGCGAGCTTTCGAATTTCGCCTGCCATCGACACAAGCGACCCTTTTCCCGACCGTCCTCTCTCCCTTCCGCTCTTCTTTGTTCGGCGAGACCACTCTCTCTCTCTCTCTCTCTCTCTCTCTCGAGGTGCGGATTTTACGAGCGTAGGCTCCGCCGCGCGCTTCCGCATGGCGCGCCGCTCGTCTCGCTCGCCCGCTCGTACGAGAATCCTCCCGGCGATGATGTAATTCGCAGCCGTGTTATTGCTCCGACGGCGACCGGTCCAGCCATCGCTGCGCGAAATGCGAGCTACCACTAGGCCAAGTGAAGAGCGATTACGGCGGACGAGGAGTCGCCACGCTCGTAAAATATCGTCCGGCGGAGCGATGCGACAAATTTAATGTACTAACAATCCAACGATCCGAAAGGAAATATTTTCCCCCCCGAGTATCTCTGAGGACTCGAACCAATTCTCTCCGCGTCGTCGGTGAGGTTACGGAAGCCTGATGAGAAGCTCAGCCTCCCTCGAGCGTTCGATGATCGAATCTGCCCGAAGAGAAGGAAGCGAAGGAAAAAGGCGCGAGATATCCTCGGCGCTTTGTCGCGCCGGGAAGCGTAACCGAGGGCGTGTCATAAATCGGGTCGGTCACTTTTAGCTATGTAGCGGCTATTGTCACGGCTGGCTTGGCGCGCATAATTTCGAGGATATTGCGAAATATCCCCCTGACGAGCGAGAGACGTCTCGAGAAAGAGGGTTTTAGTGTCGAGCGGAAGAAAAAGGAGCCCGATCTAGCAGCGCGGAGCTTTTAATAAATCTCGCGCTTTTTGCGCGAGCTGGCTCCCCGCCTCTTCCGGCAAATCCCGAGCTCGGGGCGACAGTTACCGTCGTCGTCGTCGCCGTCGTCGTCGTCGTCGTCGTTGCCGGGACCCGATTTGAAAGTAACAATCATAATTAAAGCAGCCGCGCGGGAAAAACGCGTCGGCGCGAGGATTTTACATAAATTACATAAATTAGAAACGGATTTCGCGCGCGCGCGCGGACCTTCGACTTGGCGGGTCGTAACGAGATTACGCGAACGTTCCGGGAGTCGTTTCCCGTCTAGGCTTTCCCGTTTCCCTGTTCCGCGCTGTGACATTCACGCCGGCGACCAGGAGAAACGAGAAACCCGGCAATGATCCGTCGCCGTCGTCTCGTTTCTTTTCCCCTCGCCTCGCCTATATCCAATTAGAGCGCATGGAAATGTCAGCGTTCGCACGGCACGCTTAATAGCGCGCAATCATCCCCGCTCGTGTTTGGATTCCTCGTGGATCCAGCAGCGCGGAAACCGGTCTTACGCGCGACGTCGCGCGTCACGGTCGGCTTGCTGAAGAGCGGCCGCGAGGGATCGGCCAACAGCGAGTGAGCGACAAACAACGATAATAATAACAATAACGATCAGAGTGATTAAGCAAGCAGACGCGACTGGATGGAGTAATTACCAGGATAGGCAGGTGCTCGAAGACGTAGCAGACGAAGAGGATGCTGTAGACGGTGGATCTGCCGCTGGCCTCGTCCACCTGCACTCTCTTCTTCCTCAGGCACGCTCGGCTGTTGGTGGAGCCGCTGGTGTACGAGCCGCTGGAGGGATCCCAGTGCTGAGGGTGACACTCGAACGCTCCCGAGGAGTTCTTCGAGCTCGCCTCGGACAGGTCGGAGACCGACTTGAGCAGCTCGGAGGTCGGGCTACGGCAGACGTTCCTGAAGAGCGCGATCAGCAGCCCGAAGAGGGACGCCAACAGCAGCAGGCTGCGCAGGGAGTTGACGAAGATGCCGTACTTATGGGAGATCTCGTGGGCGAGGAAGACGCAGACCTCCGGCTCGAAGTTGAGGACGCCGGTGACGCCGATGCAGGCGCTGATGACGCTCAGGCTCACCAGGTGGTACTTGAGGTGGTTCTTCGTGAGATTCACCGCCTCGTCGCGGCTGCTGATCGCGGCGAACACCGCGATCGACGTCAGCGTGAGCTCCTGGAGGACGCTCGACGAGTTTAGCAGCCACACCAGCGTGGAGCATAGCTCTGCGGCGAAAGGAGGACGTTCAGCGGTTTCGCGCGACATTTTCGCGGGCCGCCGACGCGGATTGATTTGCTGCACGAGCCGCTCGTTGGAGAACGCGACCGCGACGAATTCCGCGGAGGCGAACGATCCCGCGACCGTGGCGAGCACGAGGCGTTACACACGAGGGTGTAAGCCGGGTGGGCTCTGCCATCGGACTTCCCGGTAACGTGCGCCACGCTACTCCACGGCGGATTCCGTTTCCGTGAACGAATGAACACGAGAGACGAGAGCGGCTAAGTGCCGCACGAATCGCGCGTCGTCCGTAATTGAGACGGCATTTTCTACGGGTGAGAGAGCCGTTTCCGGCCTAGCTGAGTAGCTAAGGTCGACGATTTACCTCCGAAGTGATTCGCCGGCCGGATCAGCGTGAGAATCGCGTACAGCAGCAGCCCCAGTTGATGCGCGAGGCTTTGGGAGATGATCGCGACTGTCAGCACGTCGATCTTCCTCTTCGTCGATGATGATTGATTCTGGTAGATGAGCAGAGACCATGACAGCAGCAGGATGCATATCGGCGAACCTACGCACGTGGCCAGCCATTCGCCCACCTCGCTTCGCATCTCTGCGGACGAGAAATAATCGCCGTGTAGAGTAGTTGGCTGATTAATAATTACAACGAGCGAGCAATTAATCCCACGCATCATCGCGTCGCTCAACGTGAAGTATCGGCTCGGCCGAAGAGGGCTCGCTTCGATTTTCGATCAATCTCGTCTCTCTCGCACACGCGCGACGCATCAGCGACAATGCTGATGAGATGTCTCTATGTGTGCGATATGTTATTTGAGAAAAATTCACGACACCCTCGTCATTTGAGTGACGACGAATTATTTGTTTCCACCGAGTGCGACGACCCTGACTGGAAAATCGAGCGCAACTTTTCCACGAATGGATAACAATATCGTTGTTTGATAGCGGTGTTTAACCCTTTATATCCTTAATTAATTTTCGCCTGAGATCTTATTAGATTCGTGTTAAATTAATTTTGGTAAATTTAATTAAACAGCGTTCGGCATGTCATAAGGAATGGGAAAATAAATTTTATAGTTACTTCACGGTCAAATTTTGAGATGATGGAGGAATTTGTGAGGAACTTACTCGTACCGACATGAATGTAGGATAAGACGCAGAGAAAAAATTCAAAAACGTAGAGCGGCTTTTTAATTACCTTCGGAATATAAAGGGTTAAGGTCTCCTGGTGGATTTAAAAATATCGACGATTTCGCGCCGAGCGACATCGACACGCGCGACACAGGCGCGGCCGCGGTTTCGCGAGGGCGACTCGCGTCGTAATTTCTCCTCCCGCGCGGAACGAGACGGGACGGGTCTCTCCAGTGAGAGTGGTGATATCCTAATCTCGATGAAAGCCCGGCGCAATTAGCGCGCCGCGTCGAATTATATCCGCGCGTACGAGGAAGCGCATTGGATTATTGTTAATCAACGACGCCGGCGATTATACCGTTGAGCCATTAGCGCGGGAGAAGGAAGAGCGGCGGCTCGCGCGTACAAATGTCACCGGAGGAACTCGCGGAGGGGATGCGCGGTGTGGTTTTCACGCGAGGTATCTCCTTTCTCTACCCTCATTCCTCTCCGGTACTCTCCCACCCATTCTCTTTCTCTCTCCCTCCCACCCTCCCTACCTCTCTCTCTCTCTCTCTCTCTCTCTCTCTCTCTCTCTCTCTCTCTCTTTCTCTCACCATATATTTATCGGAACCTTTTGTGCGATACAAAGACCTTCGAGAAGACGTCGTACGGATGCACTGCAAGGATTTCGTGCAACTCCAACGCGCTCGACATTTTCAGCCCGAGAGATGTCGACACTTTTGTCTCTCCCGCCGAAAGAGATCAATTTCTCTCCGCGAGACCGAGACGGATAGATTCCGCGCGAGTACATTGTGTTCACCTTACTTTACAGTTAACATCGCCCGCCTCTCTCTCTCTCTCTCGCGCTCTCTCTCTCTCTGTCTTTGTCTCCCTCATTCCCCGGTCAAAGCGCTGCCATTCGCGTCGTCGGCCCGCATCGCTTCGGACCCCTCCGAGGGACTCGCGAACGTGCTTCGCGCAGCCGAGCGGCCCGACAAAAATACACTTGTGCGTTATTATCCCCCGGACCGCGAAACAAACGTCACTCGGCTCGATTCTGCCCCTCGTACGAAGTCTAGGCACGTTTTCCATCTCTCTTGCCTCGATGCTTCTCACGCGGCGCTCGAGCGGGCTGAGGCAACTTTCTATTCCGCGCGCGGTGCCGGCGTCGCGGTCTAATTTATCGCCCGAGTCGACTCGTAGCCGCGCGTCCGGCTACGAATTTCCCCCATGGCGAAGGAACGGTCCCCTCTCGTCGAGATGTCGAGCGGGGCCCTTGGCCGTAATTACGACGCGGACTTACGACGCGCCTGCGACACGCGCGGACGCAGGAAGAGGAAGAGATTCGCGTCTCTCTCTCTCTCTCTCTCTCTCTCTCTCTCTCTCGATCGCGTAACGCGACACGCTCGTTTCTCGCGGCGCCTTCCTCGAGCGAGCGCTCCGAGGACGTCATCGAGATTCCTCCGTTCCCGTGAGTGGTGAAAAGCGAGAACACCTCGCGGCTATCGCCGCATGAATGCACTACGCAGGCTCGTTCGTGGCGAAAAGCCGCGCGGTACGATAAATGCCGTGTGAGAAACGCATCACGTTCACGCGGAACGTACAACGCGCGCGGCGCCCCGATTAGTATCGATCGCGCCCCGCGGCGCCGCGTATGGAAAGTATCACGATACAAAGAAAGATCGACCGCACTCGCGGCGCGCCGATAAAAGTCCCTTACGTTCGCGATTTTACGGCCGTGTAAAGGAGGGAAGCGCGAGAAACCGCGCGCCCGGCTTCCCATAAAGCAGCAGCGAGCGGACGCGCGCTGAGTTATAGCACTTTCGCGCGCGGCTTATCGAAAACACATCGGATTCAATGCCCGGGGAATGGTAAATATGTATCTTTTATCTTCACCCGATGGTGTTTCCGAATGCCTGCGGGTCGCGTGCCTCCTCCTCTTTTCTCAGCGGTGCGCGCACTTTCACGTGCGAACGCCGCTCGCGAATGAGCGTTCTCGCGAATTCCGCGAGAACGGCGGACGCCGTAAATTTCCGCCCGGCCCGGGGTCGCCGGGCTTTTCTCCCGCCGGCAAATTGGATGATTGGGCTTGGGGAACGGCTAGCGGGCACCGACGACGAGCGAAAACGATCCGGGACGTCAACGGAAAAACCGACGGCGCGGGGAGCTCGTGTTTCAGACAGCGACGAGTACGACAGTCGCGAGCGGCTCTCAGGCCGCTCCCGGCAGGGAGCGATAATCGTTCGCGCTATTACGTAATAATCTGGATCCCGTTTGAGCACGGTGATACGAATGTTCCTGTTCTGGCCTCGCTGAGGATCGGGTTCGTCGCAGTCTCTGTATACGCACGCATACAGAGTGTCCCGAACCGAAGAAGCGAAAAGCAGGCGGCTCGTTCGATCGTTGGAGGATCGTTTAATCACGATTTCCTCACGGGAAGGAGGGAGGGAGGAGAATCCTTCGATTACGAGAGGTAGCATTAGCGCGAAGGAGAGGGAGAAGAAAAATAAAGGAGGTCAGATAGGAATGTGGAAAAAATGATCAAGAGAGTAAAATCTGGAGATTTGGAAAAAAATCAAAGCGAAATCCTCGGGCCGTTTCTGGACATCTTCGTCACGGAGAGTCGAGCATTTGTCCTTCCCGGCCGAAATGCTCGTCGTGTCGAGGTCCCACTTGAATCGCGTTTCGCCACGAAACGTCGTAGTTTCGTGTATCGTCGCCATGCTAAACCGGTTGCGCCAGCAGAAGAACCGGGTTAATTTTCCCGCGAGTGATAACAATGTCGTCCGGGGAAACTGGTCGGAGGATCTCCTAGAGCGTCGCTATTATACTCGGCTCGTGTAATCGACTCGACTCCGCCGGTCGTTTATTTCCGCGCTTCAGTCGTCCGAGAGAGAGAGAGAGAGAGAGGGAGGAAGATGTGGGTTACTCCGGCAGAGGAAAGTTCACCGCTGTGACGTTTTGCGCGCGACGTGATTCGGCAAACGCGAAGGCGGAGAGGAGAGAATCGTTCGTCCAGAACGCGGCGGCACATCTCTCTTTCTCTCTCGCCGCGTTTTACGAGCCATCGCCTGTATAAAAGCCGACCCGATTATCCGCTCTTAAACATACGGTAAAATTAGAAACGCGCCTCGACGACGACGGGGTTCGCGCATTTTCTACCTCGTACGGGCCGTCGTTGTCCAGGCTGGAATTCCTCCGGCCGACGAAGCGACACGTTCGGCGCATTAGTAGGAAGTCGGAGACCTCGCGATAACAGGAGTCTGTCTCGCTTTTAAAGTGTCCTTTCTCCCTCCCTCCCTCCCTCTCTCTCTCTCTCTCTCTCTCTGTGTGCCCCTCTCTTTCTCCCTCTCTTTCGTGTATTGCGGAGGCTTGCTCGACCGGAGGCAATCGGAGGTGAATTAATTCCCAACGGTATAAGCGGGCTCTCGCTGTTTCTCTCGAATTCGACGTCGACCGGCGCGACGGCGGACGCGCACACGGGGTTTTGCGCAAAAGTTACAATCATAAGCGAGAGCGTCGAGCGAGGTCGAGCGGCGAAATTGCCTCGGTGTATGCGACGGTAACGTCTGTAGTATCTGTAGTAAAACACTGACGTTACATCCCGAGAGCTGAGAATGACGTAATTACGTCAACGGAGCGCGATACCTTTTACGTCGGCGCGTAATGTGCTTGATTTCCGCTATTATCTCAGCTGTTCGAGCCGATGTGGCGGTTCCCTGTCGCGATTGATCTCTCGACACTTCACGACACGACGCTTTCGTATAAATGTACTCGCACTCAATGAGCTCAATGAAATCTTTATCGTTCCGTCGGCGTTGTTCTGCCGTTCACGGCGCGGCGGCGCGGCTCATTAGGCGCGAGCCGATCAGGCGAGTTTGCTTTACGGCATTGTGCAAAGTGTTTTACGCCGTTCGAGGTCAAAGGTGGGTACGCGTACCGTGGTGGTGCGTACGTCCATCGGAATGCATTCCGCACACGCGCGAGTACAGGCCTCCGATCAAGGACTTGTCAGCGGGACGCGTATCTCGATTAGGTTGGAATGCCGAGAGGCGCAGAAGCGACCAAGGTCAGCAAAAGCGGCTCGCGGAGGTGAACCTGAATCGACCGAGGGGATGACGACGCGGTCCCGCGCCCGACCGATGGCCGACCTTCTTTCGGCGATTGCAGCGTGCGGACCAGTTTGGCCGATAATATCTCCGCAGAGGAGATCCCGTCCCGGCCGAAGATGCGCAGGATCCTGCGCGGTCCAGGATCCACCGGAGTCGAACCGCCGCGAGAATGCGGCACAAAACGGCCCGGGCCGCAGCTATTGACCCAAGTTTTCGCCGTGCATTCAACTCTGGACGCGAGCGTGCAACTCGAAACTAGGATACCAGAGAGAGTGCGACGTACATCCTGGATGTATGGAAAATGTTCATTCACCTCACGTGCGCAGAGTTGGCTGTGAATTTTCGTGATGACTTGCTTCTCTAATCTCACGAGCGTTCATCGCATCGAGTCGATCGAAAAGGTCGATCTCCGAGTCGAAAACTTGACTTTATCGTAATTAGAGGAGATTGTTTCGGCGGTCAAGAAATCACCGTCGTGATTAATGGATGATCCTTCACGAGTCCTTCGCTGGAGAAGAAAACTGATTCAATATATCACAATGTATTTACGATTTTCCTCCTGGAGAATCTCTTCATGAAAATATCTCCAATATTTTCTTCATGAAGATCCCCGATATTTTCACCTTTCTAGAGATTTTTATTATTGCGATTGTCACGATACAGTTATTTGCCTTAATTATAATCTCCTTTTGGTCGAGTGTGTGGGTTATTCATCGAAGCGTTTGCGAGACTGCATTTTTTTCAGCGAGGCTGCATCTTTTATCGAAATCACCGAGTGAAATCTTGCAATTAACATGGATATCACGCAAGACGTAACGCCGACGAGACTAGGGCGCGAGAAAATTCTTGAAACTCCAAAGAAAGTATCCAAACATGCGCCCGCTGCGTTCGCGATGACGCAGCGGCGTTCGCGGTTAGATGCGCCGCGAAAATATGGGACACCGTGTCATCGGGCGCGATGGCGGTTCACGAGTATCTTTCTTTCCATTACTGATTTTCTTTTCTGAAGCGCACACTCAACCGAGCGTCGCGTCGCGTCGCGTCGCGCCGCCGACGACAAGTGGGGAATGAAATCGACGAAAGTCTGGCAAGGTTTAGAAACCGATCGGCTAAATAGCCGAAGCGTGTAGACGAAGCGCGAGATAGCTTTCCATTTAATAGATATCGCGCTCATGGTTGCACCTGGTAACACGGTTAAAGCATTGTGCAAGTAAAGGTGAAGCACCTCCTAAACGCTACGCTACCCTCCTCTCCTCCTCCTCCTCCTCCTCCTCTCTCTTTTTCTCTCACTATCGCTATCGCATCCTGATTTTAATCCGTCGTTGAATAATCAAGCCCGATTACTTTCCACGGGCGAGCGAGCGAGCGCGGTTGCGCAGCCTCAAATCGCAAGTATAACCCACTTTGCACGACTGCCGCGCGCGCCGGTCGACCAGCTCGGGATTCTGTCGCCACCGTTCGCCAGCTCGGTCGCGCGTTATCCAAGCTTTAGGAATAAGCTCCTTCAAGTATGATCGCGGCTTTGAAAAATCGAAAGATTATGCTTCGCACGAGCTCCCGTTCGTCTCAACTCTTTATATCCTGAATTAATTCACCTAAGGCCTTGTGAAATTTTTCTGTTATTGAATCGAAGCTCTTGGCATGTTACAAACATAAGGAATAGGAAAATGAATAGATTTTATAACAATTTAATGCTCCAATTTTAAGGTACTTTTAAGTATCGACAGAGAGATAGGGTGAGCGCCACAAAAAAGCGTTCAAAAACATACGAGCGTTTATATAGAACGGCACCTTTAACCCTTTAACTGCTATTAACTGCCTTTAACTGAGATATTAAATGACCACAGGTATGACCCTCTTTGCTGAGTTATTTTTACGATTATAAAATATTTTACAATGATAAGAGATGGCACTCTATACGCCCGCTCAATTCAAATGCTCTCTACAAACTAAATTAAATGGGTATTACACATTGAAAGTCCAAATCGAGTAAACTCGATCGTAGCAAGGCCATTTTTTGCCGCCATTTTTTTTCCACACTCGAGTTATCTCGACCGTAGCAGTTAAAGGGTTAAGTGCCGTCAGGATATTCAGAGAGATTAACCAACGGGAGAGTATACGTCCTCCGCCAGTTGCAGGACGAATCCTCCCGTTGCGGAATGCGCATCTCGAAACTCACGGTTGTTAGTCCCTCGGTCGTTGGAAGTGAAGGAAAAAGATCTCCGCCGCGAGTTCCGCGTCTCGAGCTTCGTGCCGGCCGAAGACCCGTTCCTCCTGAAACATCGTCAGGTGCGCGTCCGGGCGCGTCCAGGCGCGCGCGTGTGAGCGCGTTCACGCGGAAGAGCCGCGGTGCGACCGAATGCCGTGAGCACGGTGACTTTAACGCGCGCAACAGCGACGAGCGGCGAGCGCGCGCGGAGCAATGGAGAGCGGAGAGCGCTTTTGCGCGGCTCCGCGCGTTGAAACGCTCGCGCTACGGAACAAACGGAGCACACACGCGAGCTGCGCAATTACGTTTATGATTGTGACCTTCGCTCAATTAGCGCGCCGCGCCGCGCCGCGCCGCGCCGCGCCGCGCCGGGACGTGCGACGCGGCGCCCACACGAAGACGAACTCGCGTCATCGCCAGCGCGCTCTAACTCGGTCATGTGAAACTTTGACGATAAATCGCCTCTTATTCTCCAAGCCTCCTCCTCCTCCTCCTCCTCCTCCTCCTACACCTTTCTCCGCTCGCTTTGATCTGTCTCTCTTCCCTTCCCACTTCCCCCCCCTCCCCTCTCCCCGCCGCGTTCACAACAATTCCGAAAGAATGCCGGCGAGATTCCCCGACGTCCTCCACCTTGGGATTACATTTCACGGCTCCTCGACAAAGCGCCGGGGGACCACCCGGTGGGCAGGCAACGAAGACAAGTAAGTCACGAGGAGCTGACCGGACGGGGCACGCCCGTGTTCTCGTGGAAACTCTGATTTCCGAGATTAGCGAATGCGTTTCTTCATTCGCCGTGCAGTCAACGAGCCGCGCACTCGGGCCCTTCGGACTCGCTTTGTTTCCTGCCGCCTCGACGACGACGACGACGACGACTTCGCCGGTGCGATCTCTTTGCGAGCGGGCGATTGCGCGCTTGTGTGAAATAATGAAATGCGAATTCGCGTATTCTCGCGCTTGGAGGAAAAAAAGGAAAAGAACCTCAGGACCGGTCGGGTCCCCTCGATCTGGAAGCCAGAGCACCCTCGAAATATTTTCGATTTACGCAACACCTTCCCGCTCTCATCTGTCAGAACGCGGACTTGTTTTCCCAGCGCGATCTGCAATGCTGGAAAAAAATGCAATCTTACCGGTCTCTTCTAGGCTTCCGTCGATTTCTTTTCGCTCCGCAATTCAGTCGATCTCGCTGCGCAACGGAACGTTATTACTGCGCTTTAGAAGCGGGTAACCGACCGCCGCGCCGTGGCCGAGGCTGACGAATTAGATCTTTCTAATTCGAGTCTTGGCACGGACACACCGTCCTACCGTCTGCACCCGCCTCACTGCACCGCCGTTCGAAGTAGGTTACGAATACGAACGTGCCTTGGGAAAGTAACCGGCAGCGTCGATCTGTCGTCGCTCCACTCGCCGTGATTAGCTGCGTGCGCGTTCGCCTGGATATGCTCGAAATTCTTTCTTACGCGATTAAAACGAGCCGCCCGGCTCGCTAAAAAAATTAGCCGCGGAGAGGAAACGATTGCAGAATAAAAATGTCCGACTCGACGTCGCGGACTTTCTCCCGCCGGGAACGAGCGGACGCGGTTTCTCCGGCGGCGTTCGTTTCGAGGATTCGGTGCGAAATTCTCTCTGAACGAGAAACCGAAAAGAGAGAAGGAAGCTGGATTTTCGGACGTCGGCGCGGCGACTTTCAAATGAAATTCGCGTGCGACCTGCCGCCCGCGCTCCAAGGCTCTAAACCTCGTCGGCTGCGAGAAGCGCTTCTCTAACTAAGCCGACATGTGCCAAATTCCTAAACCCGATCTCCGAGCGGTGCCGCGCGCGCGCGCGCGCGCGCTCGGCGGTTTCGAGGCCAGAGAGGAACGGGTTTCACGTGTATTGCGAATCGCTCCTCTGCTACCGATCGCGCTCGATACAGCGTTGCGAGTCGATTTACTACGGCGAGAGAACGGGACCGAAGAATGCGTGCGTGCCTACTCCCTTATTCTCGCGCGTCTCTTGTACAGTTACTTTTCTCGGGTTTGCGTGAACGCGTGAGTGCGAGCTCGTCATCAGCCGCAACGACGGTGGGTTCTCCCTGATGATTGACGAATTCGTCGGGCGAATTCGCGGCGGCGGCGGCGCTGGATTTACGGCGACACAACGCGCGCCGCAGGTCGCGTTCGCGCGGTTGTGCAACGGCTCTCTCTCTCTCCCTCTGTCTCTCCCTGTCGCTCCTGTCGCGTTATGCGCATGTCGGATTCCGATGCAAATGCGGATTACGTGCTCACAAAATTACACGTTTGCCGTAGCGGAGTCGCGCGTACGGCAACGCGCGCCACATACTCGAAATCCGTGTACCGGCGATCGCAGATATAATATTCCGCGGCGGCGCGGCGTGCAGCGGGTATTACCGTGAAATTGCGGTACTCCGGGGGAACGGCCACTGCGGCCGGTGTATCTGATTGAGGGCTGCATTTACATTGTTATGCTCATTGAGCGAATTAATGCACCGTCCATAAACCGACGCAAGGACGCGAGGAAGGCACGTCCTTGACGCGCTCCGCCGTGCTCCGCGCGGGCCGGCCGGTCGGAAATTAGAAAAAGAGCAGCGCGCGATAGATCGCGCGCGCCGTGCCGAAGACGCGCGCGGGAGCCCCGCTGATGATGCTCCCCCTCCGGCCTCCGACGAAGGATCATCGGGGAAGCATGGAGAGGACGAGAATTTCGGCACACATTACGGCGTTTACGATATTCCCGTCTTACGTAACTCGCGATCGCGGGTTTCCCCCCACGATTGCGGCGGTAATCAAACTGAAGCGCGGCTTCCGCGCATGTGCCGAAAATTGCGGCGAACATTTCTCGCACTGGTGTCTTTGTCGCAACCTCTTATTTACTTATTCATTCTCTCTCTCTCTCTCTCTCTCTCTCTCTCTCGTTCTTTACTCACTGCCAATTGTCAATGACTATGCGGGAACAGCGTGGAATGTCGCATCGCTAGGACGAGCGTGGTACAGGATGCGCGTGCTCCGGGCGGATGTAGAGCCGGTGGTCCTACTGATGTCCTGCAAACTCGTCTCTCTCTCTCTCGTTCTCTTTCTCTCTCTTTATCTATCTATCCGGCACCCTCTCGCATTCTGCACGGCTGCTCTTGCCCGGCCGATTCGCGGGTATTTTCAGATCGACCCGCGTCTTTCCGCCTTGCTTCTCTCTCTCTCTCTCTCTCTCTCTCTCTCTCTCTCTCTCTTTGACGAGCGGCAGCTGGTGGAGTCGTATAAACCCGGAGGAGCACCTTCGCACTCGCGGACGAAGGCAGCGGAGGCACCGTTTTAACACGCACGATAGCACGACACCAGGCCGCGAGGAGGAATTCGTTGGAATTCGAGTCGATTCGCCGCGATTCGAGCGTCGTGCGCGATCGATCGGGAGATCACGCGGGCGAGATTCCCGCCCTCGAAATTGTCAGTCGGCGAGACTAACGACAATCGGCCACTGCGCGCGTCCTCTCCGGTCTCACACAGAAACGGTCACACCGCGGGGTGAAATCCGCCCGGGGGATGGAAGAAACGAGGGTGGAACGGCGGCGGAGACGACGATACTCGCTGGAGCCTCTCTCTCTCTCTCTCTCTCTCTCTCTCGGCGTCCATGCGTCTCCGCGGTCGTTGACGTGTACGAAAAGCCCGGCGAGAAGGTAAAGCGGACTGTTACGGACGTTCAAGCGCGCCGGTCCGAGCGCGGAGAACGCCGAGCGAGCAATAATGCCGCGAAGAAGCCCGGAGCGGGACTGACTGGCGGCAAGGATTCATTTGGGTCAGCGGCACAACGTAGTATACCAAAGGCTGCTCTGCCTCTCGACTATACTATCTGTTACAGCTCCGGAGTGAAGGTGCTACGCGCGTTATAACGGAGCTATCTTCGCCGCGCGGTTCGATTTTTCTTCCGGGCCATCTCTACCGGGAGCGAGAACCCACACCTGGGCCCAGTCGCGCGGAAAGAGTCGTCCAGAAATGCAAATTTTCGAGTGGCGCGCGCGCGCGTGCTTCTCTCCTCCTCTCGTCCTGCTGCCGAGAAGAGCTGCGGAGAGAGAGAGAGAGAGAGAGAGAGAGAGAGAGAGAGAGAGAGAGAGAGAGAGAGAGAGAAGACCGATTTCGAAGGCGGGCGGAAGGCGGGCGGAAGGCGGGAAACAACAATTCTCTTCTCCTCGTACTTTGATACACATGTCGGCGATTTTTTTTATTAAAAAAGAAGAAAAATCAGTAACACTTACACGGTCATGTACGATTAAGTAGACGGGTGCGATCTAACGAGCGCAACTTCGGCGCGAGACAACGGGGATTTATTGTCCGGTATGCGTGCGCTGCGGGAGTGCCGTTAACCGATGAAATGTGAAATTTATTGAAATGCGAGGGAATAGATTTGTATATATAAATATAAGTAGCGCGGGGTATATTGACCGTTGGCACAGATGCTTTGCGCTTCTTCGTCCCTTTTTCTCTCTCTCTCTCTCTCTCTCTCTTCCTTTTCTTTCTTCCTTTCTTTCTCCTTCACAGTCGAACGCATGAACATGACGATCGGGCGTTTGCAACAATTGTCCGTATCTTCGAGAGTCGCTCGCGTCGTCAACGACCGGGCGCACATCGCGCGCGCGCGTCTATAAGTATAGGAAAATTATCACAAGTGTGTACATCACGTTGTGAAACGAGGCATTACGTTATCCAGTGCATTCTTTGTCGATGGTCGACTAAAAATGGCATGTCGTCTCCATTGTCGTGGCATGCAGCAAATCATGTAGCTGTACGTGCTTTTTTTTAAATACGGAACGTTCATGTCTCGTCGATAGCTGCTGCGCAATACAAGCTGCATTCGAACGGTATTTTGTTAGTATTGAAATCAAGATCGGTCCCGTAGAAATTCCAGAGACCGGAGAAAGATTCTCCTGACGAATTTTAACCCTTAAAAGCTACCATCAAATATTACTCCAAATTAACTTTTCTTGTTATTGTTTACAAAGTATACGCGAAAATTGATCCGTTTTGTCATAAAGTTGTCACTACTGATAGTATGAACACGTCGAATACTTATAAAATTAATATTATCAGTGTAATTATTTTCTAATAAGTTCAAAAATTCGTATGGGGTGAAATTCATCCATGGTTGCCTTTAAGAGTTAAACAATAACGTAGGCTATTGTATAAATGCTAGGAACATTGTGTGCGTCCTTAAAATACCCGAATGCCCCTTCACAGATTATAATATGTACAAATCTACGGATAGATTTCGCAAAGATCGCGCGCGGCGTCAACATTGAACTCGCTCGCGCGCGAGTCTGTATTAAAAATATATATGTATACATATATATATATATATATATCTATATATATATATATATATATATAGATAGATATAGACCTCTCTTCATATACATAATTCTCTTCTGTTTTAAGAAAAATAAGTAATCTTTTTACAGTCTCACGAGGTATATCCCGTATTGTTCGAGGACGATGTCTCCACCTAGAACTGATAACGCAGTGGCATGGAAGTCTTTGGCTTGAACTCCACATAGTGCGAGTAGTCTAGCTGCAGCACAACGTAGTTGCTGTTAACAAACGCTCTCTTGAACGGGTACGCGTTCCCTTGGAACAGAAGAGGACACAATGGCGGCTTGTTTGCGGCTCTCGACGTTCCATTATCCGTCACGTCCCATAAATCGATCATTTGGCATCCACGTGGTCTGGAATGGAAATCGAATTCGATGTTACGCAACCGCCGCGCCGTCTAGCCGGTGTTGCCGGCGTGCTTGTTTGTCTCGTACTTACAAGTTCGCGAATCCAAAGCACAGCGGCTCCTCCAGCACCACGTAGCCGACTTTCAGGCCTCTCAAGGAGGTATACACGGAGGCGACATCTTTCCGACTGAAGATCTCGTACACCCTCATGGTTCTATCTCTGTAACGTCATGAATGATTTGTACAAGTATATATATATATATATACACATCAGACATATTACGTTGAGCAGTACGGCTTATGACTCTAACTGCAGTTACTTCTGCTCAAAGTAACATTTTCTGTAACTTGTCTCTTCTAGGAAGCTGAAGCTTTTCGAACTTTTGTATGGAGGCTCTTCATTTTATTAGAAACATGTACCTCATCTCTTTGCTCTCGTAGTAAGGGTTATTGACGATCGGTCTTCTGGTGGACAGCATTAGATTCGCCATCAGGGACATCTTGCCCGCGAACACAGCGTGTTTTGGCGTATTACTCTTTATCCACTCGAATAATTCCTCTTGCTCAATGTTGCTGTACTCGCCTGTGTGTGGAAGGTGGATAAGATGTACGATTATTTGACACTTCTAGACGTGCACGAGATAATGAGAAAGCACTCGACTTGAGATCTATTTACCTATAAAACCGTGCTCCTGTTGAATTCTGTCGACACCGTGATACGACATGCCGCTCACCAGAAGAAAAATGACGGCGGCTCGCGCGAGCTCGCTCTTCAAACCGACTTTTTCGAGGTACCGTTTGCTGCAGACCGCGCCGGCGATTATGCAGAGATGCGGCGTCATGAAGAGCTTCAGTCTCATAATGAAAACCGCCATGATGATAAATGCACCGGTTTGCAAGCCGTTATACGCCACATCGGCCTCTATGCAGCGCGGATAATCGCCGATCTTGAAACTTCTGTACCAATAGTAGAGCGCGAGCATGCCGGTGAGTATCGCTGTTGGTAACAGTAAAGTTTTAACGATCGTCTCGTACGTCTTGTATTGCAGAAAGTCGAATTCCGCCGAGCAAGTATAGAGCATCGTGTGGAAGTCCCTGTAGTCCGTCAACTTCGACTTCAGTATGTTGAACACATGGGCGTCGTCCTGGGAATACAGGACGTAAGACTTGATCCACTTGGTGAAGATCACCGTCATCACGATCTCGAGAATGATCTCGTACTTGATGTTCTGGAAGCGGGACAACTTCACGATCAGGCTGGCCGCGTTGCTGCTGATCAGCAGGCACATGTAGAGCGAGGACACGATAAGAGTGCCGTTCGTAATGTTGGTCGCCGCCGCGATAGCCAATGCGTGGGTCATGCAAAAGTTCTTGTAGAAGTCGTACGGGACGATCCGCAGCCACTTGAGTATCAGCAGCACTGTGATCTGCGTAGCGAACACGAAGTGCGAGAATTGCCAGGTGCACAGACTGCAAATCGTCGAACCGAATATATCCTGAAGAGGCAAAATTGCAGTAGCTTAATTTGTAAACCGTGTAAGAAATAAAAGAAACGTCGTTTGGTGCATTACCACGAATAATCCCTGCCTGGTCCTGCCCTTCAACCAGGACGGCTCTTTGTCCGAGTCGTGTTTGGCGTATTTTTTAATGGCCAAGGTAACACTGTACATCTCGAAGAGCAACATGGGATACGCGAAGGTCTCTCGCAACGGAGGCGTCCACTGCACGCGAGTGCATTCGTTGTGGTTGAAGAAGAAGAGCAAGATCGCTAGGAGTCCACCGTAGACGGAGTCGCTCAAGTAAGTCGCGTAATAAAATAGCATCGTCGCAGTGAACATTGCAGTGAACCAGACTATCTCTAGGTAGAAGTACACGGGCACGCCAAGACCCTCGCAGCTAGTTACATTTGGCAGCCCGTCTCCTCTCTCCACCTGAGAGTCATCAACTTGCAATTAATCCTGAGAACCTTCTCAAATTCATACAAAGAGATTCTGTGAATCTTACCACCCAGCACTGCTCTTCAGATACAATGCCAAGATTTTTTGCAGCATGATACAGGAAGCCTATCACGATCTGCGCAAAGAATAATAGTAAGAAGTGTCATTGGATTTATATTCAAGTGATTGATGAGAAGCTTATAGTTACTTCAGGTAAAAGATTGTACTTTCTGCTGGCATCAATGACGTTCCCATACTCGGACAAATTGTCATGAATGAGCTTGTCCATTCCCTCAAAGAAGTCTTTTGACTCAGCGATAGTCTTGTAATAGGAATAGTACATTCCCTGAAAGAGAGGAAGACTTGAAGACACGTTAAAGCAATGTAATACAGGCGAGGCAAGCTACGAATATATAAAGTATCGTCACCTACTGTCGTACCATCTCGGTCCTGAATGACATTTCACGCTCAATTTCCGAAAGATGAGAGAAGTGTCGATCATTCTCAAACAGCGTAGACACATGTAAACTGTGTAGGTAACCGAAACTCAAACCTGTGGGATTTGGAGCAAGGATTATTTTGCCAATCTATTGATTCTTTAACCAGTCAACCGCACCGATGGCACAGTCTTCTTGCACACAAATCGCAAATGTCATTACCCAGAAGAGTTACACCCAAATTATATAAAGCGGAGTACTCGTGTGCCGGTTTCTCACTCGCTTTGCGTTTCCTGTCACTCTTGGTCGCCATCTTTGACACACAATGGACCATGCGCTGTCAAACAGAACGCTGTCCGTTTGACAGTTCAGATACCAACGATACACTGACAAAGATCATTGGTCTATTAAAGTACCGGAGAAATCTCTCGCTGAGCGCTTACACCCTCTTGGGTGTCGTGGCTGGAATATGAAGCTGTAGCTCGAAATTAGCATAAATGATAACAGATATGGAATAATGAGCGCCGTGAAATTATCAGCCATTCGGGTCACAGAGTGGCCTAGTCGATTCAGCAACTGCTAGTGGCATGCGTCGAGAGACGTGGGGAGCCGCGAGATAAAACATGAATAGCGGCGTGTTGTCTTTCCTCTCACCTTGCACCGGCAATAGTTGTTAGCTGTATTATCATGAGCGTAACTAAAGCGATCAGTATTATCATTGCTCTTCAATTACCTCCGAGCCCCTTCGGACCCCTATAACTGATACGAAAATTTACCCAGGGCTGTCAGTCTTTTTTGTTAGGTTGTTATATGAAAAACCTGCGCAATGCCGCTAACGACACCGACAACTGTCGATATGCAAGTACGTAATGCAGCCCCTGGTTTCTCTCTACTGATATTACCTTGTAAAGTCTTTTGTTCGCTTCCGTGGCGGTTGGATGTGGTTCTTGTAACTGCGCATATTTTTTGATCGTGGGGACAACGTACACGTTGTCCCTGTTTTTCTTTTACCTCTTTTATCGAGGAGAATGGCGTAGGAGCCTACTCCCACAAGCTCAGAGTAGAGAGGAACGTGAGAGCGGCCAACACGGTGTTTTCGACGACACCGACTTTCCGCACTGGGAAAGGGCGCCATCTGCATCCATTTTGAGAGGGGGAACTACGATGTTACATCCACTTTCAGGTTTCAGCGGTAAAACCTGTATGTGGTGGCAGTCCGTGTTACATCCATTTTTAGGCGGTTTATGTCCGTGCTACAACCATAATAGCGTACTTGACAAGCACGGTCTCGTACATTGTTACGCGTTTATAACATGAATTAACATGTTAACATGTGCAAAAAAAAAGAATTGACATTGTGTATGATTAATATCATGAAAATCATACGAAGTGTCCGGTAATTAGCTGCCAACCCGAAATGTGAGGGTAGATTGGGTTGAGACAAACATAAAAGTCCCACACAAAAGTCCCATTTTGCGAGATTAGCAATAATTATCGAGTTATTAATGACAGAAATCTGAGGAGTAAAAGCGCGCCGATATAGATGATTCGAGAAGAGTTGCAGCTGCTCGTGGCAGCGATCATGAGTCTTTTCCTTAGCGTGAACTAATAAAAAGTGAAAGACTTCTGTGAATCAGTGAGAAATGAAAAATTTTATATGAATTTGTGAAAATCGAAACATTTCACACGACAATTGAGTCGTTCAACATGGCAGTTGCGCGTTTTGGATAATTCATTGAATACCAAAGAAATTAAAATGATCAAAATAATAATGTCCGTGTAGTCCGAAGGATATTACGTGACACGCAAAATCCGTTTGATATAATATCCAAAGAAAATGTTTCAAAATATGTATGTACAGGTAATATAAATCTTATGCACCGACGAGATATACCACAAAGACTGATGGCCTTACGGGATTTAGCGTACCAGAGAAATTTCCCTGGTGAGGCACTCGGGTGAAAGAGACCGTCTCGCATTTAGCGCAGTAAAATTTAACGGGAACTAATACTTTTCAACCCTTTTCTTCGGATCAAAAAGATTCAGAATTCAGACATATTCAAAATGTCAATACTTCTTAATACGTTTCAATTCGTCATTTTATACAGGGAAGCAGGACGAAGGGAATGGGATGCGGGCAACGATACATCATGCGTCTCCAGACGTGTCAAATCGTTTACTATAGAGGAGACTTTGATACGGTAACATATATTCGAATATTTAATCGTCCCATGGACCACTTATATATAATAAAAAAAAAATTAACGTGGATAAATGAACGATTCGTATCAATTTTTCCTTTTCTTATAGAGCAATGAAAAGAGTAAATCAGTATCGAAAATCGAATACTGATTAATACCATAAATCAGTGTCAGAAAATCGTCCAATGACAATTTGTTCTCATTTTTCAGGTAGTTACCGCTGTAATTTACACAACAAATTAACTCGGTTAAACGAACGATTCGTACCAATTTTTCTTCTCTTATAAAGAAATGAGAGAATAAATCAGTACTGAAAATCGAAGGCCGATCAATACCTAATTTATTCATCAAATTAACGCGGATTAATGGACGATTCGTATTAATTTTCTGTTTTCTTATAGAGAAATGAAAGAGTAAATCAGTACCGAAAATCGAATATCGATTAATACTATAAATCAGTGTCAAAAAATTGCACACGTGCAATGACAATTTGTTCTTATTTTTCAGGTACATACCCCTCTAATCTTATTCAACAAATTAACTCAGATAAACGAACGATTCGTATCAATTTTTCTCTTCTTATAGAGAAATGAAAGAGTAAATCAGTACCGAAATCGAAGATCGATCAATATCTAACTTATTCATCAAATTAACTCGGATAAACGAACGATTCGTATCAATTTTTCTCTTCTTATAGAAAAATGAAAGGAGAAATCAGTACCGAAAATCGAATATCGATTAATATCGAAAATCAACGTCAGAAAATTGTCCACGTGCAATTACAATTTGTTCTTATTTTGTAGGTATTTACCCCTCTAATTTACTCAACAAATTAACTTGAATAAACGAATGATTCGTATCAATTTTTCTTCTCTTTTAAATGAAAGAATAAATCAGTACCAAAAATTGAAGACCGATCAATATTTAATTGTATGTATACTTTATCGATTCCCCTGACGGGGTTACAAATTCCAATATAATCTCTCCTCCTTACTTCCTATTACGCTCGCACCTATCCCCTCGCACACACACACACACACACACACACTCCCATCCCCCGCCCCTCCTTAAATCTACTTTACAAATATCTTACATCTACTCGCTCGCTTATTTCTTATAATTAATTGTTCGCTTATCATCTATTCTTATATATACGTATATATCTATATTTCTATGCCGCTGTTACTCCTATAATTCTTATTTCCTACCGCCGATTTTTGCTTTCCTCCATTCATTCCATTCCTTCACACATTCTCCCTCGCTCTCTCTCTCTCATTCTTTTAATCCTCCTCGTCCTCCTTCTCCTCCACCTCTCTCACCCCCTTCTCCACCCCTCTCCTAGCAGCCTTTCTACCACTTATCCTCATCTCTCTCCCTCTCCCCCCCATCGTGCACGATCAATATTTAATTTATTCATCAAATTAACGCGGATAAATGAACGATTCGTATAATTTTCTTTTCTTACAGAGAAATGAAAGAGTAAATCAGTACCGAAAATCGAATATCGATCAATACCGTAAATCAGTGTCAGAAAATTGTCCAAGTATAATGACAATTTGTTCTTATTATTAAGGTATTTACCCCTCTAATTTACTCAACAAATTAACTCGAATAAACGAATGATTCGTATTAATTTTTTGTCTTATAAAGAAATGAGAGAATAAATCAGTACCGAAAATTGAAGACCGATCAATATTTAATTTATTCATCAAATTAACGCGGATAAATGAACGAGTCGTATTAATTTTTTTTTCTTGTAGAGAAATGAAAGAGTAAATCAGTACCGAAAATCGAATATCGATTAATACCATAAATCAGTGTCAAAAAATTGCACACGTGCAATGTGTTCTTATTTTTCAGATACATACCCCTCTAATCTTATTCAACAAATTAACTGAGATAAACGAACGATTCGTATCAATTTTTCTTGTCTTATAAAAAAATGAGAAAATAAATCAGTACCGAAAATCGAAGACTGTTCAATATCTAATTTTTTCATCAAATTAACGCGGATAAATGAATAATTCGTCTGAATTTTTTCTTTTCTTATAGAAAAATGAAAGGAGAAATCCGTACCGAAAATCGAATACCGATCAATATCAAATTTATTCATCAAATAAACGTAGATAAACACGATTTGTATCAATCTTTTTTTCTTTTATAGAGAAATCATAGACTAAATCAGTACCGAAAACCTGATATTGATCAATACTATAAATCAGTGTTAGAAAATTGTCTAAGTGCAATGACAAGTTGTTTTCATCTTGCAGGTACTTACCCCACTAATTTACTCAACAAATTAAGTCGGATAAAAGAAAGATCCGTATAAATTTTTATTCTCTTATAAAGAAATTAAAGAATCAGTCAGTACCGAAAATTGAAGACCGATTAATATTTAATTTATTCATCAAATTAACGCAGATAAATGAACGATTCGTTGAATCTTTTTTCTTATAGAGAAATAGAAAAGTAAATCAGTACCGAACATCGAATATCGATCAATACCGTAAATCACTGTGAGAAAATTGTCTAAGTGCAATGACAATTTGTTCTCATTTTTCAGGTATTTATCCCTTTAATTTACTCAACAAATTAACTCGAATAAACGGATGATTCGTATCAATTTTTCTTGTCTTATAAAGAAATGAGAGAATAAATCAGTACCGAAAATTGATGACCGATCAATATTTAATTTATTCATCAAAATAACGCGGATAAATGAACGATTCGTATGAATTTTTTTTTCTTATAGAAAAATGAAAGAGTAAATCAATACCGAAAATCGAATATCGATTAATATCATAAATCAGTGTCAGAAAATTGTCCAAGTGCAATGACAATTTGTTCTCATTTTTCAGGTACTTACCCCTCTAATCTTATTCAACAAATTAACTTGGATATCCGAACGATTCGTATCAATTTTTTTGTTTTTTAAAAAAATGAGAAAATAAATCAGTACCGAAAACTGAATATCGATTAATACCATAAATCAGTGTCCGAAAATTGTCCAAGTGCAATGACAATTTGTTCTCATTTTTCAGGTATTTATCCCTTTAATTTACTCAACAAATTAACTCGAATAAACGGATGATTCGTATCAATTTTTCTTGTCTTATAAAGAAATGAGAGAATAAATCAGTACCGAAAATTGATGACCGATCAATATTTAATTTATTCATCAAAATAACGCGGATAAATGAACGATTCGTATGAATTTTTTTTTCTTATAGAAAAATGAAAGAGTAAATCAATACCGAAAATCGAATATCGATTAATATCATAAATCAGTGTCAGAAAATTGTCCAAGTGCAATGACAATTTGTTCTCATTTTTCAGGTACTTACCCCTCTAATCTTATTCAACAAATTAACTTGGATATCCGAACGATTCGTATCAATTTTTTTGTTTTTTAAAAAAATGAGAAAATAAATCAGTACCGAAAACCGAATATCGATTAACACCATAAATCAGTGTCCGAAAATTGTCCAAGTGCAATGACAATTTGTTCTCATTTTTCAGGTACTTACCCTTCTAATTTACTCAACAAATTAACTCGGTTAAACGATCCGTATCAATTTTTCTTTTCTTATAAAGAAATGACAGAATAAATCAGTACCGAAAATCGAATATCGATTAATACCATAAATCAGCGTTAAAAAGTTGCCCACGTGCAATGACAATTTGTTCTTATTTTTCAGGTACTTACCCCTCCAATCTTATTTAACAAATTAACATGGATAAACGAACGATTCGTATCGATTTTTTTATCTTATAAAAAAATTAGAAAATAAACCAGTACCGAAAACCGAAGACCCGATCAATACCATAAATCAATGTCAAGAAAATTGT